CCTTTGAAAAAAAGTGAAGCCAATACAGAAGTGTGGATGTTGGGCAGTACATTCTAATGCACAACATCAGGAAACTTCTGTGGTGGTAAAAGAAGTCTAACCATAAGTACCCAGTAACCGTTTTCCAGCTGAATTTATGAGTTTATGTCAACTCTGACGCGACACCTGGTTTAAAATAAACAAGATGGCAATAGCCAAAACGCAGAAGCAAACTAATGGGTGACAGTACGGTCAACTTTACAATATAAGCTCCTCCTTGCCTCCTTTTGCTCTCAAAGCTCTTACAAAAACAAAGAAAGAAGAGACAGTTGTTTGAAACACAGTCAACATATGAATCCACAGCTGAGAAGCCGATTATGCTGAATGAATCCTTTAAGAACACTTCATGGACAGGGAGATGGTTTTTTTTCCACGGTGACTACGGGACATAATCCATTCTAAGTGTTGTAAATCCAAGCTGACAACAGCTGCTGTCCTCTAAGAAGAAGCGAGCAAGAAATCTCTCAGAGCCGCTTAAAAACAACAGCTTTTACAAAGATCAATCGTCCTTGGAGTATTCATTTAAAATCGGTCTGATTGGATAATGTGAAGAATCCAATTCTGTGGTCCAAACACTGTTAAGAGCTTACAAATATGATCACAGCCTTTGGAAACTGTTTCATGGATGTAGATCTTGGAAAGGGAACAGACTACTGTGTGTATAACATCCCAATGTTCCAGTACAACATTTCCGTGGATCCTGTTGGGACAAGATGAAAGGCTTTGTGCCCTAATATCACTGTAACTGCAGGTGTGGAGGCTCCCATTTCACGAGTGTCACTGATGTTTAGGGGGGCCATGGGGAGGGGGAACTACGAGACATCTGCACGTTTGGATAACCATCTGAGGGTTCAATCAAATTCAACACCTAGCAGGTAAATGTTTGGATACTCGTGTCTGTGTGTGTGTGTGTATATGATGTTACCTGTCTGGCTTGTCATCAAAGTAGACACCACAAACACTTGGCTTTATCAAATATCTGTGTGATCACTATCCCGGGCAGTATATAGACGACTTCAGTTTGTAGTTTTGGCTTATTTTTGTTAAGATTTTTTTTTATATCTAAATTTAAACAGACAGGGAGGCCTTGTTCAAACAAAAGTCAGAGGATGTGAAGTTGATGAGCTGGTCTCATTTGCCCTGCCTTTTTAAAATAATATAAAGTGCTAAAAAAAAAAATGCAGCCATGCAAATCAGAGCTATAAGGAAAAAAAATCTAATTTTACAACCTGTCAGGCTTTTTTTTGCCGTTGCGGACTTTTTGCCAAAATTGCTTTTCTTTTCCACCCCTTGTTTCTTTCGGGAGGCCGGAATTTTTTTTTCGGGGCCCCGGGGGGATTTCAACGGTTTTGTTGCCTTTTGTTGCTTAATTTAAAAACCAAACCAAACCTTGCTTGTTTTCCGTTTGGGTTTCAAAACCGTTAGTTTTTTTTCACCTTATTATTTTTTCGTTTGTTTTCGGCCGGAAGTTGAGTTTCTTGTTTGTTTCTTTGTTTTTTTTTTATACAGATGAGGACAAAATTATTAGCCCCCCCATGAAGATTTCTTTTTCAGAAAAACTAAGAATTAGCAGGGTTAAAATTATTACCCCCCTGATGCTTATACTCAAGCGTGAATCCTTTTTGTTGAATAACAGCCTGCAGTCATTTATTGCAGTTTTTGACAAGTCTCTCAAACACGCCTCCTGAGCAAATCCATTCTTCTTTGGCAAATCTCTCAAGCTCCTCAACATTTGATGATCTTCTGGCATGGACCTTGGTCTTCAGTTCGCCCCACAAATTTGCAATGGGATTTAAATCAGGGCTTTGTGCAAGCCGGTCAGTAACTTTCACTTTGGTCTTCTGGAGGGAGTGACATTCTCACTGTTGTGTTGGAGGATAAAGAAATGACCCAGAGCCAGTTTTGCTACTGACTGCTTGAGTTTTTCTTTCACAATCCTTCTTTCTTCACGAGTCCTTCCACCCTGACAGAATTCAAGGTGTTCCAGGCACACTTGAGCATCTCTACAGCGTTTCACTGTGAGGATGGTGTCCTTTGGGTTGTACATGTCTTCCTTCTTTCTCCAAATGTAAACATTGTGTCTGGGGTCAAAGAGCTCTAGTTTCACCTCATCTGACCAAAGGACAGACTTCCAGTATATATAATCTGTCTTCAGGTTGTCCTTAGCATACTTCAGTCTGGCTTGAAGGCATCTCTTTTGCAGAAGTGGAGTTTTGTTTTGTTTTTTACTGTGCAGGGTGCCAATGATTGTCTCCTTTGAGACTACAATTTACAACTTGGCTAAGTAATTTAGCGTCTTGGCAGTTGTTCTTGGGTCTTTAGACACATCTCTCACTTTTTTCCCCCAGTCGTTCAAATCTTTGCTTCCTACCTCTGCCAGACTGGTGCTGCACTGTGTGGCTCTCTTTGGATTTCTGATTATACTTCTCGCTTCAGTTCTTGACACTTGAAAACACTGTGATAAGTTTGTGTATGCATTTTCTGCTGATTTCGTTTGTGTTTAACATGATGCTTTCTCAAGTGACATCTCAAACTCTTGCTGAAGTTTTGATACTACGTAAATTGGAAAAAAAAATCCCTTAGTCTTAACTTGATTTTATAGATTAGAGCATTGCACAATTAAAGCATATCATTGCATGCCAGCGGTTTGTGCTATGGCTAAAAATAGCTAACAATCCCTCATAACATTGGCCCTGGTATTTTTTTTTGTCTGAAATCAATCAGAAATAACAGAAATAATTGATGCTTTCTAAAGAAAGTATGTTTCAAAGTGCTATGTTAAAAATCTCTTGCTGTGTTAAAGAAGGACAAACATTTATTATTAATAAATAATACTTGTGCAAATACTTGTGTCCTCATGTGTAATTGTACCTGCACACCATCTCCATCATTTGAGAAAAACAAACTGGTATTTTCCTTCTGAACACTACTGCATGAATACACAGTGTGATGCAAGTAGTTTTATACTGATGAGCACCCAGTCAGACTGGTGAGGTTCGAAATACTGACAACCAATCATCATCTGCCACAAACAAAATTGATGCTGAGAGCTACAGTACTTTGTTTTGTTTTTAAGAGTTTTGCTCACTAACAGTCTAAAAGCTCCACCTGTTGTTGGTGTTAAGCAGAACTTACTGGTGCATGTGTAGATGTCAGCTGCCGTGGATGCTGTG